CAAAGTGGATGGTGGTGAGCAAAGATCAGACACACAATGAGCGCATTACACTAAACGACCAGACGATCGAACGTGTGGAGTCATACAAGTACCACCGAGATCCGATCAAGGATTGAAAGAGCTCGAGCATCGTTCAACAAAATGAAGGGTGTATTCACAAGCAAGAATCTATCCCTGCCTCTAAAAAAAAGTTGGCAAAGTGTTTTTTTGCTGAAAAAATTAAACGCCTTTGAAATGTGGATATACTGCCATATCCTCATAATCTCGTGGACTGACCACATAACTAATAAAGAGGAGCTGCAGCGAATTGGGAAAGAGAGAGAAATTACACTCACAGTTAAAAAGAGGCAACTGGAATACGTCGGACACATAATGAGACATCAAAAATATCGTCTACTCCAGTTAATAGCTCAAGGAAGGATCAACAGTAAAAGAGGACCAGGAAGGAGAAGACACCCATGGCTGCAAAATCTACGCCAATGGTTTGGACTTACATCTTAATTAACAGCTATTTAGAAATGCCGTCAATAAAATTAAAATTGCCATGTTGATAGCCAACGTAGAAAAAGAAGATTGGCATTTGTATACCTCGCTCCATATGCTTCTGAGCCATATTGGCCAGCCAGGTGAGGCGCAAATCGGGCGAGTTCTGGTAGCCTTTGGCTATCCTGAACATCAGATCGAGCAGCATTTCCGGATCCTCTTGGAACTCCTTCATTTTCACCGTGTCGGACAGGATCATGTGCAAGTTGAAAACCAGGTCGCGCACCTGTTCGGGAAACGTGGTTTCCTGCAACTCAGCGTCGCGTTCGCCGTACTCCAGGATCGTTTTCAGGGACCGTCGCAGCGACTCGTCGCTGAAGGAGGCGGACGTGCCCACCAGGCTGCTCAGCGACATCGTCACTTGCATTTTGACGCGCGCAAAATTCTACGAAACCATCCACATTTATACGGCGCATCGCAATAACCAAACGCACAATACGTACATTGCCGATTTGGAATGTCTGTCTCATGAGGAGATACAAGGAGGCAGCTGCCTGCGATCGCACTGAGGCAATCTGCGATCCGCAGTGCTTCAGCAGCAGAAGACACAAGTCGGCGCAGTGCGTGCTTTCTTCGTCAAACAGCGCGCTGTGAAACTGAAACAGCAACGCTCAACCTTCCCCGTTAGAACGCCCCCTTTGCAAACCCACCTTAAAGACCAAACTGCGTTGCGACGCAAACATGTGGGGCAGCACAGTGGTGCTCTGGTTCTTCCCCAGCGCATGAAGCAGGACGGCTAGCGCCAATCCCACCAGGTGCTGCTGACTGTCCAGCTGCGCTATCGTGGACACGGACCGCTCCAGAGTGTCCAGCACGATAAACGAGGCCTCAGTGGCAAAATGCCCGTCCAAATGGGTGTCGTGAAAGAAGGCATCGTCCCGTGGCCGCTCCTGGCACTCTGTGCTGATCTTGTAGGTCATCTGCTCTTTGCGCCAGCGCAGCTTCTCTGTAGTGGCCTGCGGAACACCCCCTGCCAAACCCTATGCGGTTAAACCAGCTAAAGCAGCAGCTGAACTGCTACCTTTGCGCCGCTGCATCATTTCTCTAGCGGAGCCCTGGCCTAGAATGACATCCTCCAGGCGAGATCGCATGTCCTGGGTGACTTGGGCGTGAGCATAGCCTGAAGACGGCGGCGCTCTTCGCCTCGGCCTGTACTCGAAGCAGCTGGTGCAGGCGTCCAGCAGATGCAGCAATGTGGCCAATCGCGTGGCAGTCAGCTCGCTCATCCACTGGCAGAGCGAGTCGCGCTCCACGTTCTTCAAAGTCCACAGGACGCACGTGAGAAGATTGCGAGTGGCTTCGGCGTTCACTCCCAGCTTACGGCTCTGCAACTGTGTGACGAAATGCCTCAATTTGAATCGCCCGAAAACGTGCAAAACTTACCGCTTGAAACGAGTCGCAAGTCGACGTGGGCAGTTTCCCAGCAATCGCCATGGCCACGCTCGGATTAATGTTGCTCGGTGCATGATCCTCGCTGGAAAAGCGATCGTTCTTGTCCTGCGAAAACATGTGCAACAAGGGCAAAACGTCCATGGCCACGGACAGCAGCGGAAAGTAGAGGGCGGCGACTCGATGGCGAGCCTCCGGAGACGCGTAGCGAGGATCGCTATCGTGCCAAGACAGCAGCGACTTGATGGTGTCCACGGCTTTATTGTGCAAACTGGGCTGACTGCAAGTTAAAGTTGAATTGTACATACTTTCCTGACTGTGTTTCAATTGCAAATCAAATTCATTCCTGGGTTTCAGTCATTTATTGTCGCTGTTTATCAATCAAAATACGTTTCGGTGTATTTTTCCACCATCATCAGTTTTTATGTGTAGCGTTGTTGCTG